AAAACATTTCTGCCCCCCCCTGCACCTCCCAGCTGAAATTTTCAGTGGGGAGACTGGAGATCTCAAGCAGTGTCTCAGCGCCTTCTCCAGGGGATTGTGCTGTCGTACGCAAGATTCACATTATCTCACTTTGCAGAGACCCAAGCAGGCAGGTTTAATTAAAGTATTTTTGTTGTTCTTCTCTCACAGCACTAATCAAGTTTCAAGAGCATTCAAGTACTTGCATTATCTACAGAAAGCTATCCTTTTACTGAAATATCACCCCCAAAAAATCCTGCTCCCTTTTCTCACTCTTAAATCCAGAAATTTACCCTCACTTCATAAGCTGTCTGATCAAATGGTGCCACTGTTCTTCCTTGTTTTCTTTTGCCAAAGAGAAAAGCTTGACCTATATGAAGTAGTGTCCTCATGTTTTCCTTCCAGAAGCTTTCACTATGTCTGCAATTGAAGTGCCACAACGATGGAAAAAGTTCACCCCAAACAAGCTGAAGTTGAGCAAGAAATCATCTTTTCAAAATGAGGCTTAACCATTGGAAAAGTTTGGGCAGATTGACACAAGTACAGCACAGACTATTTTGTAAGAATTATCCCTCACAGCATGACATGCTCAAAAGGAACTGTTCAGAGACAATGGTGTTGCTGTACAACACACTTTGCAGGATTTAGGTAATACACAAAATATCAGAAATAGAACTTTTTCATATTACAGAAATAGTATGAATATTATACTTACTTCCTTGGGTGGGAAAACAAAACACCAAAGAAAGGAGGCCAAGTCTTAGAAGTCTGTTATTAAAGTTATTAGGACCTAAGCTTATTCTCTCAGGAAAAAAAACCTTCATTTTAAGTATCAGAAGTTTTCACCGTATAGAAGAGATTGATGCTGAACTAGGTTGTCCTATTTTAAACAGTTCAGAAACTAGATTTACTCAAATGCAGAAGAAAAAGAAAAGGCAGAACTGTGGTAGTCACTTGTTGCTACCCCAGGAGACTTGACTTCACGGGATTTGAGTTCTCTTAGGATATCAGCGCTGCATGACCCAATTTCATATACAGAATCTCTTATTACCTCTTTCAGCCAATGATGCACAATGATACATGCACCACACAACATTGTTAGGGTACACCTTTCCACAGCCAAGTTCTGAAGAGAACAAGGACAACTCAGGTATCACCAGATGTCTTCTCCATGTCAAAACATAGACCAAATTTCCATTAAATGGTGCTTATCTTAGTCTTTGTTACTTAAAGAATGGAGCTCCCCTCCATTAACAGACTAAAACTATTCTCTCTGCTTTGCAAGCTAGTTGATGAACCTTACACTAAGGTAAGAATAAAATAAAGAGGAGACCTATTCATGCTACGCTTTTAGTTAACTACAGTACTTGTCAGGAAGAGTCAGAAGGCAAAAATGGAAATGATGTCCTAAAACACCTTTTTGCTTTGTTCTCCATCAGAGGAGCTGAAAGGATGACAATACTGAGCTAGCCTCAGTCTTGACAAGGAAAAAAAAAGTATTTCCCATTCCTTCCAGAAGTAGACATCTTTATATGTAATAGTATTAAAGAAACTGCTTTGCTGGATTATGTTTTTGTCCCTTCATATCACAGCCATGCTCTTCCTGCTCAGGAAATATTTGATAATCCCAACATAGACAAAGGAGGTACACGAAGTATAACCCATTTTCTAGGCTAGCAACACATAAGCTCGGACTCCAAGTGCTGTAGGAAGTCCAGAAATCACAATCTCATGACTAAAGCAAAGGGAACATGCTTTATTGCTCTATGCATGAAAAAACTTGTAACCATGGAGTCTGATAACCAAGCCTACACCTATGAAGGAACTTAATTCAGTGAGGTTCTTGCAATTGCAAAGGCTAACTTAGGGCGAAAAAACTAGAGTAAGTAAAATAGACAAATATTTTGTGCATGTATATATACATGCTACTGTAAAGCTCAGATTAGAATGAAAACACTCATTCAAATGGCTTCCAGAAAAAAAAAAAACACCACCAAACACCTCTTTATATAGCTTCCAGGTAGCTCAGCAACACTGATGAAGTTTTAGTAAATACAAGAGCTTAGAAAAATTGGCAATACAGATAGAAACACAGTGGCATTCCCTGGATGTGGCTTGACTAAGTTGGGAGATTCTACTTCCTAGTTAGTTGCACAGATAATTAAACTGCAATTTACCAGAGTAATTGAAATAAACTGTTAAATATTTTGTCATTTCGTATTTACCCACTAAATCAGAAAGAAGCACAACTTATTTGAAACTATGAAGTTTTATACTTGATAATGAAAAGAACAAACACTATCAATCAGCAATTTCACAGGGACATCAAATGGCTGAAGACATTTCTATTACTTTCCACATATTTGAATCAATAAAGAAATCATAAACCCTATAATTGAGTAATTCAGCATCTTTCCAATTCTGTGTTTACCTTGCAAATGTTTTTTTGGTTAAATAAGAGCTATAAGGCCATTTAATGATAAGCAATCAAACTGTCGTTCAAGGCAACATGATGGCATACGAATTTCACTGCAGCCAAGGGCAACGTTATACACAGTAGAAGGAACAATCCAGCTAAACAGGCACATGCTGATAGGTTCTAAAAGTAAGTGAGACTATTCAGAAAAAACAAGTTAAGGGTCAGGATAAACAGCTGGCTGAGAACATCTGCTAAAAATTGAAAAAACAGACAAAATGTTAAGACAAAGAATAAATATCCCAAGTACTGTCCCATTGTTTAAGACTGTTATATGACTTCACCTTGTGTATTTACTGTCTCCAGCTATGAGAATTCTGTAAAATGAGCAACTTGCACCTACATGAGGTAAGAATCTTCAGTGCTCTGCTCTTCTATAGCCCTGAAAGAAATGTCCAGATATCTGGACTACTGATAGAAGAAAACAGGAGATCTGGAAAAGGACGGAGAGGCTCAGAGCATAAAACCCTACCTCTGCAATGTCACATAATATCCCTTCATTTATTTTTATTTAGAATTAT